TTAAATAGGCACAAGATGTTGGACATAACATAATGATGGCTGACTGAGAACAGTTATGGACCACAGGTATGAAGTTTACGGCATGTAATGCCTTAAGAGAGAATATTATGAAAATGATATACAGGTGGTACATGACACCAGTCAAGCTTGCAAAAATCTATCATTTGCCCGATAATAAATGTTGGAAATGTAGAGAAACTGAAGGTACATTCTTTCACCTTTGGTGGACGTGCCCAAGGATTAAGGCTTTCTGGGAGATGATTTATAATGAAATGAAAAAGGTATTTAAATATACCTTCTTGAAGAAACCAGAGGCCTTCCTCCTGGGCATAGTCGGCCAATTGGTGCCAAAGAAGGACAGAACTTTGTTTATGTATGCCACAACAGCAGCAAGAATACTCATTGCAAAATATTGGAAGACACAAGATTTACCCACCCTGGAAGAATGGCAGATGAAGGTGATGGACTATATGGAATTGGCGGAAATGACTGGCAGAATCCGAGACCAGGGAGAAGAGTCGGTGGAAGAAGATTGGAAGAAATTTAAAGACTATTTACAGAAATACTGTAAAATTAATGAATAATAGAATGATGTCAGAATGAAGTTAAGTGGTTTTAGCAGCAATGTTATAAAGGTGTATGTAAAAATGGATTGTTAATAGGTGAGAATCCAAAGCTATAATATTAAGTTAAAGGATTAAGACAAAAACAAATTGTGAAAGTTATTGATTATTTAACAAATTGTATTGGAATACAAAATAGGGAGGTGAGAGCAGGTCAGGGAAGCAAGGAAATGAAATGAAATGTAAGGTATGGAAAGATTGATTTGTTTTTAAGTGTTTTTTAAATCTTTTTCTGTATTTTGTATTTTGTATTTTTTCTCTTTTTCATTTTTTCTTTTGTTTCTTTTCTTTTTATCTATGTAATCTTTAGTTTTTGAAACCTTAATAAATATCATAAAAAAAAAGACATTCAGGTTGGTGACCATCGCTGCCTCTTGTGAAAACAAGTTCTATGTAAATTTGCCTACTTTTTCCTCTTCCCTCCCCAGCACCCTTTCCTTTTGAGTCAAGACTTTTACATATTGAAAACCATGGCAAGGGACTGTTTTATTTCAACTGGGGTGGAGTACGGGGAAGGAAAACCCTTTTCGGATCAAGGCACAAGTTCTCTAAATCAGGGACGTCCAACTCCCAATAGACTGCAATCTATTCACAGTATTAAAAAACTGGCAGTGATCTACCTAAAGTTGTAGAGGTTTTTTTTAGGAAGCCAAAGTTGTTGGGTTTGGTGTCATCTCTTTCCAACCTGCAAATGGTGCCTGATTTCTCTCATCCTCTTAGACAGTTACCGCGGCCTAAGTTAATTCATTCATCCTCCCCACGTTGCATTATCCAATGTGCCGACTACGCAGTTGCTGTTTCTGAGGCTGGGTCAGTGTGGTGGTGGAGGGTGGATGGAATTTTGTGCCTGTGTATTCCCAGAGACATTTAAATACATTGGTAATCAATCAGCTTAATTAACGCCTAAGAGGAAAAGCTGCAAATTATATTCATGGAACGGCCAGTTTCATCCTGTTAGGAGCTGGCTCAGTGGGGTCAGTGGGAAATGGGGAAGGAGTTGCCAAGCAACCAGAAGGCCCTGGTTGTGCTGGGCTTTGCAACCCTCCTAAATCAGCTTCAGTTTGTTTCAAGGGAGAACCCACAAAATAATTAACAAGGCACTCCAACATATGGTTTGAAAGGGTTGCCAGTTTTATTTTATTGTACACCATCCCACTGGAGAATTTGTGTGTGTGTTTGTGTGTGTGTGTCTGTGTCTGTATTCATTCATTCATTTGCAGGAACTCTTGACAATATAGTCTGAAGTACAGTCGTACCTTGGAAGTTGAAAGGAATCTGTTCCGGAAGTCCGTTTGACTTCCAAAACGTTTGGAAACCAAGGCGCAGCTTCCGATTGGCTGCAGGAAGCTCCTGCAGCCAATCGGAAGCTGCGGAAGCCACGTCAGACGTTCAGCTTCTGAAAAGTGTTCGAAAACTGGAACACTCACTTCTGGGTTTTGATCGTTTGGGAGCCGATTTGTTCGGGAGCCAAGGTGTTTGAGATCCAAGGTACAACTGCCGTGGTTAGATTTCTGGCCTATGAGGGGCAGTTGAATGAGTTGGAAGAGTTAGGGTATATTTAATCTGGAAAAGAGACCCTCCCAGTGTCCCTATTTTCCAGGGACAGTCCCAAATTTACACAAGCCATCCTGGTCTCTGATTTGATGCTGGAATATCTCGCTTTTCTGTAGGACGTCCCTATTTTCATTGGAGAAATCCTGGAAGCTATGGAGTTATAGGACCCCCAACCAATGAGGTAAGCATGCAACCTTTAGTAGACATCTGAAGGTAGCCCTGTATAGGGAAGTTTTTAAAAAAGTTTAATGTTTTTATATATGTTGGAAGCCACCCAGAGTGATTGGGGCAACCCAGTCAGATGGAAGTAGAATAATAATAATAATAATAGTAATAGAATAGGACATCCCTATTTTTATTGGAGAAATGTTGGAGGGTATGAGTCAGTAGGGACAGGCATGATATTAGCTTTTAAATACCTGAAAGGAATCTATATATCTGCTATAAATTTTTAAAAATTATATACTACTATTCATAATAGTCAGCATGGATTTCTGAAAAATAAGTCATGTCAGACTAACCTGATCTCGTTTTTTGACAGAATTACAAGCCTGGTAGATGAAGGGAACGCAGTGGATGTAGCCTACCTTGATTTCAGCAAGGCATTTGACAAGTTGCCCCATGATATTCTTGTAAAGAAGCTGGTAAAATGCGGTCTTGACTATGCTACCACTCAGTGGATTTGTAACTGGCTGACTGACCGAACCCAAAGGGTGCTCATCAATGGTTCCTCTTCATCCTGGAGAAGAGTGACTAGTGGGTGCCACAGGGTTCTGTCTTGGGCCCGGTCTTATTCAACATCTTTATCAACGACTTGGATGATGGACTCAAGGGCATCCTGATCAAATTTGCAGATGACACCAAATTGGGAGGGGTGGCTAACACCCCAGAGGACAGGATCACACTTCAAAACGACCTTGACAGATTAGAGAACTGGGCCAAAACAAACAAGATGAATTTTAACAGGGAGAAATGTAAAGTATTGCACTTGGGCAAAAAAAATGAGAGGCACAAATACAAGATGGGGAACACCTGGCTTGAGAGCAGTACATGTGAAAAGGATCTAGGAGTCTTGGTTGACCACAAACTTGACATGAGCCAACAGTGTGACGCGGCAGCTAAAAAAGCCAATGCAATTCTGGGCTGCATCAATAGGAGTATAGCATCTAGATCAAGGGAAGTAATAGTGCCACTGTATTCTGCTCTGGTCAGACCTCACCTGGAGTACTGTGTCCAGTTCTGGGCACCACAGTTCAAGAAGGACATTGACAAACTGGAGCGTGTCCAGAGGAGGGCAACCAAAATGGTCAAAGGCCTGGAAACGATGCCTTATGAGGAACGGCTAAGGGAGCTGGGCATGTTTAGCCTGGAGAAGAGGAGGTTAGGGGTGATATGATAGCCATGTTCAAATATATAAAAGGATGTCACATAGAGGAGGGAGAAAGGTTGTTTTCTGCTGCTCCAGAGAAGCGGACACGGAGCAATGGATCCAAACTACAAGAAAGAAGATTCCACCTAAACATTAGGAAGAACTTCCTGACAGTAAGAGCTGTTCGACAGTGGAATTTGCTGCCAAGGAGTGTGGTGGAGTCGTCTCCTTTGGAGGTCTTTAAGCAGAGGCTTGACAACCATATGTCAGGAGTGCTCTGATGGTGTTTCCTGCTTGGCAGGGGGTTGGACTCGATGGCCCTTGTGGTCTCTTCCAACTCTATGATTCTATGATTCTATGATTCTATGATTCTATGATAACAAGAGTGATTTACAGGAATTATACGTAAAACCATAAAATAAAACTACAGTGGTACCTTGATACTCAAACACCTTGGTTCCCAAACACCAGAAACCCAGAAGTAACTGTTCCAGTTTTTGAACGCTTTTCGGAAGCCGAACGTCTGATGCAGTTGTCGGCTATTGTTCCTGGGGTGCCTGCACCAATCAGAAGCTGCGCCTTGGTTTCTGAACATTTCAGAAGTCAAACGGACTTCCAGAATAGATTAAGTTTGGCGATTTTGTTTTTGCTATTGATTTTGCGTTTTTCTTTTTGAGGCTTTTTTGGTTTATTTGTTTTTGTGACTGTGTGAAACCCAGTTTCAGCTACTGATTGATTGATTGTGTGACTGCGGAAATGGATAAAAGCCCCCCACCCGAACAATGACTATCATCAGTGCAAGTAAGAAAAATTGTTAATTTTAATTTTATCATCTGCAATAAAAGGTAAAGGTAAAGGGACCCCTGACCATTAGGTCCAGTTGTGACTGACTCTGGGGTTGCCGCGCTCATCTCGCTTTATTGGCCAAGGGAGCCGGAGTACAGCTGGTCATGTGGCCGGCATGACTAAGCCGCTTCTGGCAAACCAGAGCAGCGCACGGAAACGCTGTTTACCTTCCCGCCGGAGCGGTACCTATTTATCTACTTGCACTTTGAGGTGCTTTCGAACTGCTAGGTGGGCAGGAGCAGGGACCGAGTAACGGGAGCTCACCCCGTTGCGGGGATTCGAACTGCTGACCTTCTGATCAGCAAGTCCTAGGCTCTGTGGTTTAACCCACAGCGCCACCCACGTCCCAATCATTTACAATACTGTCTTATTTATTTTATGGTGCAGTACATTGATTATTGCTTTCATTTTATGGCTCAATGGTCTTGTTAGATAGTAAAATTCATGTTAAATTGCTGTTTTAGGGGTTGTTTTTAAAAGTCTGGAATGGATTAATCCGTTTTGCATTACTTTCTATGGGAAAGCGCACCTTGGTTTTGGAACGCTTTGGTTTTGGAATGGACTTCCGGAACGGATTGAGTTTGAGAACTAAGGTACCACTGTATATTAAAAATGTTAAAATCAGAAATCAACTAACTATTGTGGAAATGTGTATTCTTAACTGCCTGCGTAAGCCTGATGGAATAGAAAATGGGATTCCTTTGAACAGAAACTGGCACAGAAACACAATAAATCGAATCAAATAAATCAAGTCAATCATTTTCAGCAGGCATTTAAAAGGTTGAAGCAGAATTCACCTGCTGAATCTGGCAGAGCAGGGCTGGGCAACTTTGGTTTGCACAAATGTGTAAGCAAAACTGCCCAGAAATAGGTGCCTGGTTTGAAGAAATTGACCTGAGATCCTGATGAAATCTCCCATCAAAGATGCAGACTGGTGTGGAAATGTTGTTGCAGGAAACCCCCTCCCCCCAATCATTCAGTTTGTACAAACTCAACACACACACACACTCACACACTACATACGCTATGCTTCTGTAATAAATTCATAGAAAATCAACCATACATCGGATCTGCACCGTTCCACTTTTATTTTACTCCATGAAGGAAGGACTACAAAATGGGGAAGGTTTGATACAGGGCAGCCATAATCTCTTGAGCATACCAGCACATACGCAGGAGCCCTGCCCAGTTGCTATGCCAACCCTGATGGTCCTAGACAGAAGACCATCAAGGTCACAAAGGACTTGCATATGGGAGTGGATTCAACACGGACTGGAACAAAGGACAATGATCAGGTCTTCCCTCTGGGGGCAGGAAACTGCCAACTCCCCTTTGTCCTCTGGAAATGACTCATGGGGAGGGGGAAAGGAGGAACTAGCCAGGTGACAAGATACTCAGGTTACCTCCACAATTCCTCCCTCAACCCCTCCTTTTTGTGACGTGTCAATGATGTAGTCATGATGTAGTTGTGATGTAGTTCTAGGGGTGTAGTTTGGGGGATTAGTAACTAACAAAAGTTGGGGTCTTCTTTTGTTCTGGGCTTCCATTTTGTTTCACCTGGTGGCAGCTGGGAGTCCTGTCGCAACAGTCTTCAATAAAGACCAAGCCTACTGGCTGCTGTTTTGCTCTCGCATTCCTGGCTGGTGTCCTTGTTTTTTTTGTCCAAGGGAGCTCTCGGATTTCTCCGTCAACAATGTGGAGAGCAGAACTTAAGACTGGGAAAACGATAAGTTGAAAATGACAGATCCTCCCTAGGGCTGCCATACGTCCAGATCTTCCCGGACAGTACCAGGATTTTGAAGGCAGAATTGACGTCTGGGGGGGATTTATGAAAGGTGGTGCTTTGTCCTGGATCTTAGGCAATCAATTGAAAAAGCTCAACAATTTCGGGGTGCCCTGGTTTTTTACTTTTTGAAATGTGTCAGCCCTACTTATCCCTGAACATACCACCACCCTGGGCATTTCCTTACAGAAAGAGGAGGCTGAGGGATTTTCACAAAGAAAGAAAACATGAAGGAAGTCCTGCTCATTTCGATCAGACTTGTGCAGAAACATTCGGCGAGGATCGGGCCCCTTCCCTCTTTCTCTCCCCTCTGCAAATATAATGAAAGGAGACCCCAGTGACAAAAAGTAATGCGATCCTAAATTAATGGCAACATTCTAATAAATAATGGTGATGATTAATACTGCCCAATCCCCAAAGTAATAATCATTTAATAAATTGCAGAGGACTCCGGTAAGTCTCTGTGTATCTTTTAATTATATTGAACGGAGAGAGCAATTAGCGTAAAAGTTATTACTAATGGGGGCTAATGTAACTAAGCAGGACAACGCAAGTGGGATTAAATTATCCCATGCCTATTTTCCCCCCTTCCCCAAACACTCACATACTAATGGAGCTACAAAATGGAGAATCACTACCACTACATTGATGTGGAAAGAAGTTTTCCATCCTTCTGTCTGAGAAGAGGAAACAAATTCTCTCTCTCTCTCTCTAATAATAATCTTTATTAGGAAAAGGTAAAGGGACCCCTGACCATTAGGTCCAGTTGTGACTGACTCTGGGGTTGCGGCACTCATCTCGCTTTATTGGCCGAGGGAGCCGGCGTACAGCTTCTGGGTCATGTGGCCAGCATGACTAAGCCGCTTCTGGCAAACCAGAGCAGCGCACGGAAATGCCGTTTCCCTTCCCACCCGAGTGGTACCTATTTATCTACTTGCACTTTGAGGTGCTTTCGAACTGCTAGGTTGGCAGGAGCAGGGACCGAGCAACGGGAGCTCACCCCGTCGCGGGGATTCGAACCGCGACCTTCTGATCGGCAAGTCCTAGGCTCTGTGGTTTAACCCACAGCGCCACCTGGGTCCCTGCTAATAATCTTTATTAAGTTCACACATAGACATATATGCATAAATAACAAATATAGACAAAATAAGTAGTATAATGAGAATTATTAATGTTTAATAGGTTATTGTATTTTAGTGTTTTGTTGGAAGCAGCTCAGAGTGGCTGGGGTATAAATAATAAATTATTTATTATTATTATTATTATTATTATTGGAAGTTTTATATTTTAACCTGTTATCTAATTGTAATATATTGTGTTTTGTTTTTGTTTTCTTTCTATTTCCTTTCCTTTCACTGTTTCTGTCTATTTGTATTGCTTTTGCTCTGTATGGTTTGTCATTTGGAAACAAATTCTCAAAGCTGCAAAAATATCGCACAGTGTGCTAGACCGTTGTTGGAGCATCCAGCGAAAGTGAATTATGGGAGATTAGGGATGGAGAAGAGGAAAGACTTCTTCGCCCAGTGCATAGTTATCCTGTGGAACTCCCACCCACTGGAAGCAGTGATGGCCACCAACTTGGGACGGCTTTCAAAGACAAATTCGCGGAGTAGAAGGCTGCTGGCCACACTGGGAACCACAAGTGGGAGGAGTGGTTGTTGTGTCCAAGTCTTTCTTGTGGGCTTCTCAATGGGGCATCTGGTTGGCCACTGCCTGCTCGACTAGGTGGGCCATTGGCCTGTTTGCAGAGCTCTTCTAACATTCCTACAACAAGAATAAAGAAGCGATCCTGTGTCACAAAACCCCACAGAGGGAACCTCCTCAGGAAAGGTGAAAAATCCCAGTGGCATTCAAGTACAGTGGTACCTTGGTTCTCAAACGCCTTGGTTATCAAACAACTTGGAACCCAAACACTGCAAACCCGGATATAAGTGTTCCGGTTTGCGAACATTTTTTGGAAGCCGAACGTGCTCCGTTTTAAGGGTTACGCTACTGTTTTGAGTGTTACGCTCAGGGCCATCTTTAGCATACGCGCCGCCGGGGTGCAAAGATCCGCCCAGCGCCCCCAAATTTAGTTTAGCCTCCCCCAAATTTTTTAGAGGGGGGCAAACTCACCTTTTTGGAGGAGGGGGGAAGCCAAAGCTGTTGACTTTTTTTTGGGGGGGGGGAATCACTCACCTGTAACAATGACACAACAGAAATAACTGCTTTTGTTTCATGACTCGGCGGGAATATTTGACGCAATGGAGTAACACAGCGATGGAGGGGGTGGGGGCTTTTGCTCCATTGCTTTTAACTGCCACCAATCAATGTATACACTAGGTATACATTTGGCGCCCCCCCCCGGAATACATTTGGCGTCCCACAGAATTCAGTGCCCGGGTTCCCTGCACCCCCAGGTAAAGACAGCCCTGGTTATGCTGACAATTTGAGTGGTGCACTTCTGTTTTGACTGTTTCGCTGAGGTCTGTCTGTTTTTGCTATTTATTTTGTTTTTGTGGCTTTTTTTTGTTTGTTTTTGTGACTGTGTGGAACCCAGTTCAGCTACTGATTGATTGATTGTGTGACTGAAGTACATTGTTTATTGCTTTCATTTTATGGATCAATGGTCTTGTTAGATAGTAAAATTCATGTTAAATTGCTGTTTATGGGGTTCTTTTAAAAGTCTGGAACGGGTGAATCCGTTTTGCATTACTTTCTATGGGAAAGCGTGCCTTGGTTTTGGAACGGACTTCCGGAACGGATTGAGTTTGAGAACCAAGGTATTACTGTAGCCATCCCTCCAGTTTCCATTTACTAGGGCCTCATATCCACATGGTTGGTGCTGTGGTCTAAATCACAGAGCCTAGGACTTGCCGATCAGAAGGTCGGCGGTTCTAATCCCCGCGATGGAGTGAGCTCCCGTTGCTCGGTCCCAGCTCCTGCTAACCTAGCAGTTCAAAAGCACATCCAAGTGCAAGTAGATAAATAGGTACCACTCCAGCGGGAAGGTAAACGGCATTTCCGTGCGCTGCTCTGGTTCTCCAGAAGCAGCTTAGTCATGCTGGCCACGTGACCCGGAAGCTGTACGCCGGCTCCCTCGGCCAATAAAGCGAGATGAGCGCCGCAACCCCAGAATCGTTCGCGACTGGATTTAACAGTCAGGGGTCCCTTTGCCTTTACTTTACATATCCACTAGCCATGCACGGTAATTAAAAATGAAAATCTCCTTGCTGCCACTGCCTGTTGGGAACCTTTAACTAAAGAGAAGCCTCAGAGTGTCAAGCTCATCTCCATTTCCAATGAGGACACTTAAGGACAGCTCAGTGGAGTCAGTTTACTCCTCCCATAGAGAATAGGCAACCCCCCCATGCTCTAATCCCTAATGACAGGCAAGCAATGAGGTCAAGATCACCAAGAGAGCCTTCTCCTGCTTATGACTTTTTTTTTTAAAATGCATTTACATTGATATGTACACATCAATAGGATGCTTGTGTAGGAAACCCCCATGGATTTAATTATTTGCAGGAGCAACAGTTCCTGAATGTGTCAATACACATTTATTAGGAGACAACTATTTGCTCTGCGCTCCAGCCTTCCTTGACATCAGGGCCCAACGCTCTCCAAGGTAGGTCTTTAAAAGCACCAGAAGAGGCTCCTGCCAGGCTCCCAGTTAACCATCCCTGGGAACACCTATTCTCACAAACACACTCATCCACAATAGGACAACTCTTTAGCCTTGCAGGAGGGTCCTTGAGAGGCATGTTGCCATGGCAACCACCTCTTCTTTTGCTTAGAGAGAGAGGACCGTTGTGCTGAGGCTCAATCATTTGAGCCTTGGAATGATATTTTTGGCACGGTTTTTTCAGAGATGACCCACCCCCTCCAAGCCTCCCAAGCAAGGCTTGCCAAGTGCTTAAAACTGCTGGAAAACTACACACACACACACACACACACACACACACACATATATGACATGTGGAACTGGCTCACTATCTGATTCATTCAGGGTGGGAGGTTAAAAATATTATGGTGTTTTGCAAGCCATTAATAGGAATGTTGGAGAATTCTGGCAAAAGCAGGCAGAGGAGTGGAAACTGCAGATGTTCAATTATTCGTCCCATGTCTGGACCGGAAGCAAAACCAACAAATACTATCTATGCTTGCTGTTCTTGCTCTCGGTCATTATAGGTAAAGGTAAAGGGACCCCTGACCATTAGGTCCAGTAGTGACCGACTCTGAGGCTGGGGCGCTCATCTCGCTTTATTGGCCGTACAGCTTCCGGGTCATGTGGCCAGCATGACCAAGCCGCCTCTGGCGAACCAGAGCAGCACATGGAAACGCCGTTTACCTTCCCGCTGCAGCTGTACCTATTTATCTACTTGCACTTTGAGGTGCTTTCGAACTGCTAGGTTGGCAGGAGCTGGGACCGAGCAACTGGAGTTTACCCGTCGTGGGGATGCGAACCGCCAACCTTCCGATCAGCAAGCCCTAGGCTCAGTGGTTTAGACCACAGCACCACCCGCGTCCCTTTATTAGGAATGGTAAAGGTAAAGGGACCCCTGACCATTAGGTCCAGTCGTGACCGACTCTGGGGTTGCGGCGCTCATCTCGCTTTATTGGCCAAGGGAGCTGGCGTAAAGTTTCTGGGTCATGTGGCCAGCATGACTAAGCTGCTTCTGGCAAACCAGAGCAGCGCACAGAAATGCTGTTTACCTTCCTGCCGGAGCAGTACCTATTTATCTACTTGCACTTTGACGTGCTTTCAAACTGCTAGGTTGGCAGGAGCAGGGACAGAGCAACAGGAGCTCACTCCGTCGCCGGGAACTGAACCGCCAACCTTCTGATCGGCAAGTCCTAGGCTCTGTGGTTTAACCCACAGCGCCACCTGCATCCCTCTCAGTCATTATAACCCCACAAATTTGCATTGTTTCCTTTGCGTTGAACTGAATGGGTTGATAACAGCATCAATGAGAACGTAATTTATGTAATTAATCGCGTCAGCTACATAAATGCGCCCTGGATCACAAAGGGAGGGCTCAGCTCGCAGGATCATGGTGTCCATTTGAAAACCCACAGGCTGCTTCTGAAAACCTTTATAAAATTACAGATGGCATGGGGAAAGTGGACAGAGAAAAGTTTTCCTTCCTCTCTCCTAACACTAGAACTCAGGGACATCAAATGAAGCTGAATGTTGGAAGGTGAAGGCAAGACAAGAGAAAGGACTTCTTCATGCAGTACACAGTTAAACTGTGGAACTCACTCCCACAGGACCATCCCGGAGCTGACCCCAATGAACGAGGCTTTCAGAGGCTATCTGAAGGAAGAGTCTGGTGGCATCATGTACAGTGGTACCTTGGTTCTCAAACTTAACAGCAATTTAACACAAATTTTACTATTTAACGAGACCATTGATCCATAAAATGAAAGCAATAAACAATGTACTGTAGTCACACAATCAATCAGTAGTTGAACTAGGTTCCATACAGTCACAAAAATAAAATAAAAAAGCCACAAAAATGCAAAATAAATAGCAAAAACAGACAGACCTCAGTGTAACACTCAAAATGGAAGTGTGGCACTCAAAGCGGAGAACGTTCGGCTTCTGGAAAAAGTTCACAAACTGGAACACATACTTCCGGGTTTGCAGCATTTGGGTTCCAATTTGTTTGAGTACCAAGGCATCTGAGAACCAAGGTACCACTGTAAATATTCCGGAAGAGGATATAACTCAGGAATAGAGCACTTGCTTTGCATGCAGAAGGTCCCAAGTTCAATCCCTAAGCATCTCCAGGTAGGGTCTGGGAATGTCCTGGGGTCTGAAACCCCAGAGAGCTGCTGCCGACCAGTGTAGGCATCACTGACCTACATGGAGCAACCGCCTGACTCTGCCTAAGGCAGCTTCCTCCATTTGCTGTTGCAGCTCAGTGGCAGAGCATCTGCTTGGCATGTGGAAGGGTTTGATCCCTGGCATCTCCAGGCAGGGCTGGGGGAGATCTCTGAAGAGTCAGTGCTGCCAGTCAGTGTACGTAACACTGAGCTCGACGAAGCTCTTTTCTTTTATTTCTGGAGCCGGGAAGCCCTGAGCTCAGTGCTGCCTTTGCACAGTTGCCTAATGCCATTTGCATTCTGGTTCCATCTCAATTTCCTTTGGTCCCAGCTCCTGTCGCAATGGCCTCCCCTCCCTCTTGTTTACAGCCTTCACAAATATTTGCTGATGCCTTTGCCCCTCATTAGTCCTCATTTATCAGAGCTGTGCACAGTTAGCTCCCCTAATGTTGTCTCATCCATCACTCCCTCCAGCCCCCTAATGATCTCTATGGACACCCCATTTCCCTATTTATCTTCTCTTCCACTTCGCTCTAATCGGGTGAGATTGGATTTTCTCCAGTTAAAGCCTTATGCGCCCCACACTAGCTCAGGGTGGTTTGTGGGGCTTTGATGGAGCAGTATAGACTCTTGTCTAATAATAATAATAATAATAATAATAATAATAATAATAATAATAAAAAATTTATACCCTGCCCATCTGGCTGGGTTTCTCCAGCCACGCTGGGTGGCTCCCAACTGAATATTATTATTATTAACAATAAAGCGACAAAACATCAAACATAAAAACTTCCCTAAACAGGGCTGCCTTCAGATGTCTTCTAAAAGTCAGATAGTTGTTTATTTCCTTGACATCTGATGGGAGGGCGTTCCCCAGGGCAGGCACCACTACCAAGAAGGCCCTCTGCCTGGTTCCCTGCAACCTCACTTCTCGCAGGAAGGGAACCGCCAGAAGGCCCTCGGAGCCGGACCTCAGTGTCTGGGCTGAATGATGGGGGTGGAGACGCTCCTTCAGGTACAATAATAATAACAAAGGGATAAGACAAGTATAAGGGATGCGGGTGGCGCTGTGGTCTAAACCACAGAGCCTAGGACTTGCCGATCAGAAGGTTGGTGGTTCGAATCCCCGCGACGGGGTGAGCTCCTGTTGCTCGGTCCCTGCTCCTGCCAACCTAGCAATTTGAAAGCACGTCAAAGTGAAAATAGATAAATAGGTACCGCTCTGGCGGGAAGGTAAACGGCGTTTCCGTGTGCTGCTCTTTTTCGCCAGAAGTGGCTTAGTCATGCTGGCCACATGACCCGGAAGCTGTACGCCGGCTCCCTCGGCCAATAAAGCGAGATGAGTGCCGCAACCCCAGAGTCAGTCACGACTGGACCTAATGGTCAGGGGTCCCTTTACCTTTAAGACAAGTATAAGAGCTCACATTCAAAAAATGGGTCTTCCTTCCCTGTAAACAGGGAGGAGAGCAACATATAAATCAACTTTTAAATGGACTCATTTCTTACATTGTGGAGCAGTGGTTAGAGCGTCAGACTAGGACCTGGGAGGCCAGGGTTCAAATCCCCACTTGGCCACGGCAATCACTGGGTGACTTTGGGCCAGGCACTCACTGCCTCTCAACAGAACCTACCTCACAGGGTTGTTGTGGGGATCAAAGGAGGGGTGAAGAACCATACATACCACTTTGAGCTCCTTGAAGAAGGTGGACTATAAATGCAAAAAAAGAAATAAACTGGGTTTATAGACCAATTTTCCTTCCCAGAGCTTGCTTCACTTCCTCCCCATTTTGTACCCATAACCACCCTGCAAGGTAGGTTCGAGGTGGCGCGATAGCAATGGCAAAGGCCATATCTCCGTGGTAGAGTATCTGTTTTACATGCAGAATGTCCCAGGTTGTGTCCATGGCCTCTCCAGGTAGGACTGGGAATGTCCCCTGCCTGAAATCTCGCTGAGCTGCCACCAATCAGTGTAGACAATGCTGAGCTGGATGGTCCAATGGTCTGGCTCCGTATAAGGCAGCTTCCTGTGTTCCTGTGTTAGGCTGAGAGACAGCGATTGGCCAAAGCCACCCAATGGTGAGTGGAGATTTCAACCCTGGTTTCCTAGGCTCTGGTCAAATACACTAACCACTGCCTGTTTCAAAACAGACTGAGGAACCATAAAGCTGGACCTGAACTGAGTCTGGAGGGAAGGAATGTTTTCACAGATGAAACTCACTGGTGGCTTTGTGCAACAATGAGAAGAATTTCATTTCACCGGTGTACAGAGATTAACACACACACTCCTGAGCTTATTGTGGTGTCCTTATGAAATTCTGTGGCATTATGAAAATGCTGCTTTCTTCCTCTTCTTTTCATATGTGGCTTTATTGATGCCATAAATTGTGTGCTTTATTGGTTCTTGTGTGGAAAGCCATCTTGAGGGCTTTTGAAAAAGCCATGTGACGGCCAGGAATCGAGCTTTTGTACTGGTGCAACCTGGTTCCCGTAACTGGCAAGGAAAGCTTCCCTCTCTGATCAAATGTCTAAAGCGGGCTGAGGCTGCCTGCTTTCTTGCTGTCGCAGTATTTGCATTCATACAATAGCCTCACTCTCACATAATTCTAAACCATGGTTAATATTAACCATAGTTCATAAACCGTGGTTAAAGTCTAGGTGTATCTAGGTGGGGAATTTTAATTTTTTTACTCAGTTTACATTTGTAAGTAGTTTTAAACTGTTGTCACCTATCCTGAAACCTTAGGGTGAAGGGCCAGTCATTAGCATCACCATCAACAACTTCATAGGTGAATCTGCCTAATTCATACTTTCTGAAACAGCACAAGAGCCCCCAAATAGCCACTGCTGGAAATTCAGAATGCTCCAAATTTTTCAGTGCAGTTCCCCAACCCTGTCATGTGTACAAACATGCATGTATGTATGAAAATGAATGTGTGTGTGTGTGTGTATACACATATATGTATATGTATATATACACACACAGTTTTATACACACACACACACACACACACACTTTCATCTATCTATCTATCTATCTATCTATCTATCTATCTATCTATCTATCTATCATCTGTCTATCATCTATCCACACGCATGCACGCACGCACACACACACACACACACACACATATGAAGCAGCATACAAAAATGCTTCATATAAGGAATAATTATTTTACAAAGATGTGTACATCAGGCAAAATGGCTTAAAAAGATGTGTATATTAAGTTAGGCTGAGAGGCAGTGACTGGCCCAAGGTCACAGCCAGTGAGCTTCATGGCCATTGGGGGGGATGAACCATGGTTCCCCAGGTCCTAATATGACACTCTGCAACCACCACACCACCCTGGCTTTTTTAACCATCCAAGAAGTGGTGTAGCGTGGGTTGCCAGTATCCGGGGCTGCACAGAGGGGTTGGGTGAGAAAGAGGAAACAGACGGAGTATGCAGGCACATTCAACTGCCTGAGTCACCCAGGAGATCACAGCCACAGAGATAAGAAAAGAAGAGTCATTCCGTTGTCTGGAGAGGTCACTTCCTGGCTCACATGGAGAAGCCATTTTCAATGGAGCCCAGCAACGGAAGTGTGCAGCTGTTTTAAGGCAGCACCAGGTGTTGAAATTTGGTGTCTCTAACACAGAGCCTAGGACTTGCCGATCAGAAGGTCGGCGGTTCGAATCCCCGCGACGGGGTGAGCTCCCGTGGCTCGGTCCCTGCTCCTGCCAACTTAGCAGTTCGAAAGCACATCAAAGTGCAAGTAGATAAATAGGTACCGCTCCTTTACGGGAAGGTAAACGGCGTTTCCGTGCGCTGCTCTGGTTCGCCAGAAGCGACTTAGTCATGCTGGCCACATGACCCGGAAGCTGTATGCCGGCTCCCTTGGCCAATAAAGTGAGATGAGCACCACAACCCCAGAGTCGGTCACGACTGGACCTAATGGTCAGGGTCCCTTTACCTTTAACAATTTTGTGCCCGGGCCACTGCCCCTGTGGTCCCCCCCAGGCTATGCCACTGCATCTGAGTTGGCTGTTTGCTACCTCTCATGTGAGCCAATTCCAGAGCCATGCAATTTTTAACTTCTTGTTCCTCCTCCTAATCACCCGAGAGGATATTATCCACAGCAGTATCTCTTGAAGACTTTTGCATTTGATCCCTTCCACACCCTCCCACCTCCACAACCATGCCGGTTTTAAGTCCCAGCTCTGAAGTGCATCTTCAACTGGCTTCTCCTCTGTGTCAAGGGCCCATCGCTTCTCCAAGCTCCGGTGCAAATTGGAGCGTCTCCTCCTCACCACTGTTGCCTCGATTGCTCTGTTTTGTTTCCGCATCATTTGTTAATTCAGGAGGCAATTAATTAGCTGTGCAAGCGCGGTCCTCTCCCCCTCCCTCCCCCAGCAGATGTTGGCAGCTGTGCGCAGCCGGTGCCCGCGCCTTCGCCTTGCTCTGCAGCTGTCTGCCTGCATTTGCAGCCGAGACAATGGCAGCTTTAATCATGTCATTACAAGGGATTTGGATGCTGCTGAGCTCTCCCCGTCTTCTCTCTGTCGGCTTGGAACAAGGATGCTCTTGCCTCGGGGCCCAGTTCCTGCTGCCACCAGCCAGATGTCCCCCGAGATTGTTCAGCTCTGGAAGTGCCGCTGAGCCTTCTGTGGACTGGAACTTCCACTTGTCAGGCACTCAAAGACTTGTACGGCCCCGGGTTACGCAGAGATTAGACTAATCTCTTCATTAATTGAAATCTCTGCTTTTGCCTGTGCTAGGCACACAGCTGTTTGTTCATGCAGCACAGAGGAATCAGAAATAGTGTCTTAGGTGATCATCTAAGTTGAGTTTCCTGATCTGTGGAGATGAATAACGCTGGAAAGACCACCGGTGAATGGTCACAGAAATCGGAAAGTGAGAAAAATTCTAACGTAGATGCCTTACAGGCCTTCAAAGTAGGCCCCTCTGATACAATGCACCGTTGACAACTTTCGTAGAACTGTTGGAGGCGTATGGAGAAGTCCTCTTTTCGTACTGCTTTCAGTTCCCTCGTCACAGTAGCTTGGACATGTGAAATGTTGGAAAATCTGTGCCCTTTTAGTGCAGATTTCAGTTTTGGGGGAAAAAGAAATCCAGTGGGGTCAGATCAGGAGAATATGGAGGGTGGAACAACTCAGTAACGATTTCACATGGAATATGCAATTCTTCCTCCATTATTCAGATGGACAAACGGTGATCCCACATCAATAACTCATGAACTCTATTGACATTTGCCACCATTCTGCTTGTCAACGGTCTGCCAGACCGAAGGTCATCTTCGATGGTTTGCCGCCCTTCACGGAAATGCTTAAACCACCCACACACTGTCTTTCGAGTTACAGCTTCATCTCCGTACACAATTGTGAGCATTTCGTGGGTCTCCGATGCAGATTGTAAGTTCAAATATTTCTCGCTGTCCAATTTCTGTGACTATTCACCGAACTTCCCGGTCACACCTTGTAAAGTCATAGAACTGTAGAGATGGAAGTTAACCCCAAGGTAGAACCTTACATTTGTCCCGATTACACTTCATTTTGTTAGTTTTGGTCCAGTTCTCCAATCTCTTAAGGTCATCTTGAATCCTGTTTCTGTCTTCCGAGGCATTGGCTATCTCTCCCAGTTTGGTGACCATTACTTGAAGAAGCTCAAGGTGGTGTACATAATTCTTCTCCTCACCATTCTATCCTCAATTTGTGGGCATCCAATGAAGCATAATTCAGAACAGATAAAAGAAGGTCCTTCATTCAGTGCAGAGTTAAACTGTAGAATCCGTTCCCACAGGAGGCAGTGATTGCCCCCAACTGTCAGGCTTGGGGGATTCCCACCTCCCCCAGTAGCATCGAGGATCAAAGAAGAAACAAGAAAGTTCGTATTTACAGTTTTATTCAGTCATCGTGGTGCAAGACAAAGAACCCAGTCCTTTACTCCACAGTGACGTTGCTCACACTGACCTCCTCCCCTTCTTTCTCCAGCAACAGCTCTTGGCTCTATGGGGGGTCTCAGGAGTCAATTGTTGTTGAGCCTTTTGTTCTTGAATTCCAGTTGAGCAGTGTGTACATGGGGATGGTGGCTCTTCAATGCTTTCCAAGGACGTCTCTGCTGGCAGTTCTCCCCTTCCTTCTCCTAACACGTCATAACTTGGCAGCTCTGAGTTCTGCTGTACAGTGGTATCTCGGGTTAAGAACTTAATTAGTTCTGGAGGTCCGTTCTTAACCTGAAACTGTTCTTAACCTGAGGTACCACTTTAGCTAATGGGGCCTCCCGTTGCCGCTGCACGATTTTTGTTCTCATCCTGAAGCAAAGTTCTTAACCCGAGGTCCTATTTCTGGGTCAGTGGAATCTGTAACCTGAAGCGTCTTTAACCTGAGGTACCACTGTAATTCAATCTTGTCTCCCTCTTCTTTTGAAACTGCTGGGGAAGGGGGGGTGATGCCCCCACTCCTCCTCTGAGGGAAGCAGAGGAGAGGGAGGGGGCGACCCCCAGCCCTCCTCTTCAGTCCAGTCCCTGACATCAATTTTGATGCTTTTAAAAGAGAAATTCAGGAGGAAAGGGCCACCAATGGCTACTAGCTATGTCTGTCTCTATGGTCAGAGGCTGCAATGCTTCTGAATGCCAGTTGCTGGAAACCGCAGGGTATTGGGGGAGTGCTGTTGTGTTCAAATCCTGCTTACGAGTTTCCCCACAAGCATTTGGGTGGCCACTGTGGGAACAGGATGCTGGCACAGATAGGCCATTGGCCTGATCCAACAGCCTCTTCTTAGGTTCTTAGTGAGCATAACACACACTCAAAACTCAGCCTCCACTGAGGTCAATGCAAAAATCCCCACTTGAGGCTTGTTTAACAAATGTTAACTTCATCAGCTTTGATTTCCAATTTGAAGAGTCCCAGCCAAGCCGTGTCTTTGATTAGCCAAACTAACTGAACTAGTCGCGCTAATCAGAGTCAAAGGTAGGGTTCATTACCCAAGCAAATCCTAGCAAAATTCAATCAAGTCAGATATTCCCATTGATATTCTTCGAGGCATACACTTCAACAGGAGTTTTAGCTAATGAAAATAAAGACTTGATTAGTGGATTGGGAGAGTCTTGCTCCTCGGCTAGAAAAATCCTGAAGAAAGATATAGATAGATATATTTAAAAGCAAAGATTAGGCATGCACTGGCTGTGTTTTGCCAGACCCCAAGGAGCGGAAGGTGGATCCGGGTCAAAGACTCAACCAGAAAAACTGAGATGAGATGGCAGACTCTTGGTTACAGATACCTCTTGTCACTGCTTTCATAGCCTCCCAAAGGTTGGCAGAAGTGGTTTTGAAATGGTGGACTCTTGCGATGGTAGGATAGGCTTTACTTAGTTTGGAGATGGTATTTAATGACCTCCGCTAGGATTTTAGTGGCTCAAAAATAGAAATCCCAGCTTTAATGGAGTGGCAGATGAAAATGTTTGAATACGTAGAATTGGCGAAAATGACCTATAAGATTCGGAACCAAAAAGTAACAAAGTTCGAAGAGGAGTGGAGTAAATTTGTTGAGTACATACGGAATAATTGTAGAAGCTTAAAGACTGTAGCAGGGTTAATATAAATCTTGTGACGTGGATAGAGTGTAAATAAGAATCTGTAAGAGAGGATGTTAATTGTGAAAGCCGATGTAGGGAAGGAAGGAAGTCCGGGCACGATAATGCGCAAGGTAAATAAGTAGACACAAAAATGTTGAATGTAAGAATATATGCTTTATCTATTTTTGTTTTGGAAAATCAATAAAAAACATTTTTTAAAAAACAACACCAGTCAGATTAAATCAAATAAACAAGAAATGTTCAGGTGTTATGTTGGAGGATGCCAGGAAACCAGGAATTATGTTCACATGTGGTGGGGGTGTAAATAGGTGCAATTTTTCTGGCAAAGGGTGTTTAAGGAGATAACAGAAATCACTCAGTTAAAGTGACCAAAAGTCCAGAGGCAGCATTATTATCAAGGTTCGCAGGCTATGAA